CATGGCATGCAGTGATCAGACACTGAAACAGAGATATTTTGTATGATTATTTGGTAAATTTAGAGCTGCACATACACAGTAGCATTCAAAAAATTCCCTGACAGCATCAGAAAGTCATAAACATTTAAATCATGTGTTTATAATCAAATGTGATTTGACCAGGAGTAGTATTCACTTACCTTCCCTACCAGTTCACAAATGTAAGCGCTTGCTTCGCTTGCCCATGCCACATCCACGCATGCACTCAGACTTCCGCACATGTGCTTTGGCTAAAAAAGTGCCTAAATGGGATGCCATAGAGCCGAGGTTGGGTGGGTGGGGCCACCCATGATTTCCGCTACCGGTTCAGGCAAATTGGTCCAAACCGGCAAAATACCACCTCTGGATTTGATCCAAAATGTAGACGGACCACCTGGATTACACTGTAAAGGAGACAGGATGAATTTTTATTTGTTATGTTTATTCATAATGACAAGTGGTAAAGTGGTCAGACTCATGGCCCAGGTCCTCCCCAGGGGATGCTTAGATCTGACGTGTGGGGCCACCCTGGAAACAGCAAAGGACTGGTCCACAGTGTCTCTGCCAGTGAAAATGGAGCTTGGGAGGGCCACAGGTTTTCACTGGCAGAGGGTTGCAGGATGCCATAGCTGTCAAAAATGGAGCCTGGAAGCCTGTTTTCACTAGTAGTGCACTCAGGCCACCACAGAAAACCCCCAACACAAGTGAAAACAAGCTGGCCACAACCCCTCCTGGCCACACACATCCCACCCACCCACCCCAAGATCAAACACAACCCTAATGCAGCCCTCAATGAAATTGAGTTTGACACTCCTGTGTTAGAGTATCAGACTAGAAACCAGCAGACTGTGAGATCTAGTCCATGCCTTAGGTATGAAACCATTTAGGTAGCCTTGGGCCAGTCATTCTCTTTCAGCCCTTGGAAGCAGACAAACTCTGAAATCTTGCAGGGACTTGTCCAGGCAATCACCAGGAGTCAACAATGACTTAAAGGTGCTCATATACACAGGTCCATGCACACACAAACACACTTTTATTCATCACACAAAATTCTTTCCAAAAAAAAATCTTGTTGTCAATATTTCTTAGAATATGGTTCTTTCTTAAACTATATTCAGTATATTTGATATTCAGACTTGATCAATCTAGATGCCAGGCAGGCATAGAATCCAGATATCATGAGGGTTCTTTGCCATATATTGAATCACATTAGCTCAAGCTTCTGCCCCAGTAGAGATAGTTTTGTATTTTAAAAACAAAGCTTAGTTGAACAGAATTTGTACATAGAGTTGGGGGGGGTTAAAAAATATTTCTGTTTCCTATGCCTCAGAATTAATTTATTGAAATCTGCAATTGGGAAATCAAGGAAAAAGTATGCAGAAGAACAATGGATCACCAGTCTAGCTAGGAATCTGCATTTCTTCTTTTTTTCCTCTATGTGGTGCTAAATGTCTTCATTTTTTCTGAACAAATTATAATTATTAGTTTGTCTTTAACTTCTTGCTGTCTTAATTTGACTTCTGTTCTAAGTGGAAGAAATCAAGTTATATATAAGGCAATACATCTAATCCCAGTTCTTCATTAAATCACATTGAAATGCAAATGTATTTCAATTAGTGCTGTTCAAAGACTAGTCTGTAATGAAGACTACTTCATTAGATGAAGTAATTCTGAATAGAATTGTATTCAATGCATTTCCAGGTTTTACAACTGTAGTTAAATCTCACATTGCTGGTAAAGTCAGAAGGCATGAATGAAGTAGACTTCAACACCATTATTTTTTAATGCTGTAAATTAAAAATACATTATTGAAAACTGTTCCAAGTGATTTATAACAAACTAATTAAGGTAGAGGGTTCCCCCCCACCCAAAAAATTTGGCTCTCACCTCTTAGTAAGTTTTCTCCTGAATTATTTTGCCCCTGGCTGATATCCACAATTTCTCACAATTGTAAACTTAATTTGTATCACTCTGAAATAGCCAGTAAAATAGTTGCTGTTTTTTCTCTCAAACATCTTTTGTCGTCTGGCTTCCTGTCACCATCCCCACACCTCCTTTATCAATAACCTATAAGCTATACAGTCAGGAGGGCATTTTTCCAAGCAATTATTTCTGATGAAATATTGGACTAAATAGTATCCTTTGGAGAAGGAAATGTCAGTTACTTCAATAAATCTACAAAAATGAAAACTGGAGAACCAAGCCCCCAAGCAAGAAGGTATTCAAACAGTTGCTGGGGAAAGCAGAGGGCAAATAGACACAACACATATGCGCACAACATATATGGATTAAAGGTGAAAAGATTTCACCATTGCTGATTCACTCATAGGCAAAAGCAAAATGAAAATTTCATGCTATAAACAGTTGAACATGGAATGTCAAAGCAATGAGCCAAGTGAACCTTGATGTTATCACAGTGGCAGTGTCAAGAGTGGACACCGACCGTCTGGGAATTAGCAAACTGGATGGATGATTTCATAGCAAAGAAAAGAAAATTATATAAGAAATAGCAGAGCCACTTTATAAACAAATGATGTTAAAATAATTTATTGATTGGTTGATTGTTTAAGGGCCATCAAATTGGTGTTGATTCTTAGCAACTACATTGATAGATGTTCTCCATTATAATCTGTCCCTAACCTCCTCTTCTGCTGGCGCTAGACTGAGTCTATTACATTGCTGTGATTGTCCTCCGTTTCTTTTTCCTTCCACCTTTCCCAGCATTTTATGGTTACATAAATAATATGGTTGGAAATATGACAAAATGTGAGTTAACTGCATACAATTTGAAGAAATTACAATGTGACAAAGAGCTTGATAGTAAAGCACTACCTCCACTAACACTCCAGTAAATGATAGAATAATCTCATTTGACCTGCAGGACAAGACAATCAGTATCATAGGGATTCAAGGAAACAGGAATTGAACAGTTCTATCATGATTTGCATTGATACAAAACCAGCAACTTATGTCATATTCATTATAGATGACTGGAAGAAAACTGAAATAAAAATTCAAAGTTTGAACCTGGAATAATGGAAACATTTTATCTTCGTATACAGATGAAGTAGGGGACAGACAAATACTGTAGCTGTAACAAATTCAGTCATAATACTGTAGCAAATCTGTTTTTCAAGCAACTCTAAAATGCAATTCTACACATGGACATTGGTGGGTAAACAGCATTAAAATCAAATAGACTGTATGATCTCAACCAAGTGGGTGTAGCTCTGTTCAATCAACAAAAACAAGACCTAATGCTAACTGAAGCTTGGTCCTGAACTTCTCGTAAAATTTAGCTTAATAAAGCAAGTGATACAATTTCAGTAATATTCCATCTTCTGTTGTTGTAAAGATAGAGAACTGAAATGCATTTGATGAAGTGTATATCTGAAGAATTCTACATTGAAATTCACTCAAATCATTAAATGAAGTAAACAAAAGTATTACAAAACGCAATGTTCATAAGAAGACAAAATGCCTATCGATAGATTGAAAGTTGACTAAGAAAGGCAGAAAGCAAAAGACAACACATAGAAAAGAAAATTCCTGAAACTAAAACTCTTCCATGACCAAAAAGAGTCAAGGAAATCTATTTACACAAGCAAGGAAAAGAAAATGAAGATGACAACCAAATAAAAAGAACAGTACATTTCTTTAAAGTAATTACAGAAATCCAGGCAATCTTTCCTGCCAAGATAAGCATGATAACAGACAAGGCAAAGTTCTTCTGGAAAAGAAGGATCGAAAAAGAGTTAATTAAAATATGAAGCAAAACTATCCAATCACCTTAAATATCTAGATAAGATGGTTAGACACGATCACTGCTGACATGAGAATGAACTTTCCAAGATTCAAAGAAACGGTCATTGACAGACAATCTTGGTGAATTGATGTAATCATGGAGTAATGGACCATGGAGGGTTGAAAGAGACTGAGGAACATCATAGCCATCCATTTTGTGAATTCATGTGTCCACTAAGCTCTTGGAATTCCAAATTCGTTCTTGCACCAAAGACTACCTATCCCATCCTGGAATATCAAGTACATAGCAACATTCTTGACATTTTTGAGAGAGCCATTGCATGAACACTTCTCACTCTGTGTTCATATACTCCAGTTACTATGTTTTCATTAAAAAAATAATTTTTCCTGCTTGTTGCTCCACCTGATTCAGTGACGCAAAATAAATAAAGCATATGGTTGGAAACATGACAAAATGTGGAGTTAACTGCACACAATTTGAAGAAATGCAGTGTGAGAAAGAGCTTAATAGTAAAGCCCTACCTCTAGTAACACAACATTTAATTACTAATGTCATCATCCCAGTCACGGCTGTTTGGGAATGGGTGTCATAAAAGAAAGTACTTGAAACCCTCTTCACTCATCCCATTAAGGATTTTAAAAGTCAATATTAAACCATGAATGGAACCCAAAAATGCAGTTGGCAAATTGTTACCAAGAGATAATTAGTGGTATTAATATTAGACTCTTTGAAATTACCTAAAGATACAGTATGTGGCAATAATGCTTAATGGATTTCAGTTAGTATATTTGTAGCATGGTAAGAACAAAATGTTTTAACAAAGAAATATGAACACTAATAGCAATATGTATTCAAACCATCTATGCAATCTTTTTATCTTATTATGTTTAATAAATAAGCCACTTAATTAAAAAATAGAAGTGTTGGAATGATTGAGCTCTGTCTCCCCATCCCTCTGCTATGTGTGTGTTGTGTGTCTCTGTGTGCATGATTCCATTAGTCCTTATTTTTAAGTATATCCACTTGGAATATAAGTCAAAAATCTCGATTCATTTTTTGTGAAACAATTTGGGATTTTTATTAGCCACTAAGCAGCTTAGCTTTTTATTTTCCTTCATTTGTATTTCAGTTTTGCCTGGCTTGTTTATAGTACATACAATATTAATTAACTTCAGTTTTGCCTAAGACATTCACAAGTTTATCTATTTACTTACAGGAACTTCAAAGAGACATAGAGAAACATAGCACTGGGGTTGCATCTGTCCTCAATCTCTGTGAAGTTCTTCTCCATGATTGTGATGCTTGTGCTACTGAAACAGAATGTGATTCCATTCAGCAAGCCACAAGAAACTTGGATCGAAGATGGCGGAATATTTGTGCCATGTCAATGGAAAGGCGACTCAAGTAAGTATTTGGTGAAACATCTGCCCAATAATTTTAACATTGATCCCCAGTGGAAAGCCAAATGGGGATCATATACAGACATAGAAGACATATAAATGACCCCACAAAAAAGGTGCCAGGCTTTGAACTACCACATCAGCAATGGACAATCCTGAATAGGATTCACACCTCATATGGTGTCTGCCAAGAATCTCTGTATACATGGGGCATAGTATCCTCACGTCACTGTCTGTATGGGGGTCCCATGTTGAACTGTAGATCACATCATTATCGGCTGAAAACTGCTCCAGTATCTGATTTTTTTGTAATATAAAGAATGTTGTGCTTCAATGGTTAGATGACTTAGACATTAATATTTGAACATAAATCTTTTTGACATTTATATTTTATTGGGTTCCACTAATCTAGTTGAAATGTTAATTTATATTGCTAGTCCATGTATGGCATGCAATACGCTAAATAAATAAATAAATCCAGATCAAACTGGATTCAGCCAATAAATTATGTTTCTTGTTAAAAATAATTCTTGTTAAAACTACCGTCAAGCTTCAATAAAAGCCAGTATTGTTCAATACACAATTTGTCTTCTTGGGCATGTTCAAATAGGTTACATGATTTCTTTATTACAGTAATTTTAATAATTAGATATCATATAATTTTAAGGTGAAATTCAGCCTCTCCTATTTTTATCTTTGTTTCAGAATTGAAGAGACTTGGAGACTATGGCAGAAGTTTTTGGATGATTATTCTCGCTTTGAAGATTGGTTGAAAATTTCTGAAAGGACGGCTGCTTTCCCTAGTTCTTCTTGTGTATTATATACAGTTGCTAAAGAAGAACTGAAGAAATTTGAGGTGATTTTTATCTGTTTGAAATATAATCTGTTCTGATGCTGTCACAGAAGCAAATTTATTCAACCTTATTAGTATAATTCTACTCATTGTACGTTAGTGAAAGACCAAATTCTACCTTAGGACTTGGAACAAAGAACTTTGAAACTGCAAAAATAGATCACAAATTGTTTGTCCTGCCCTAAACTATAATTAAAATGAATCAGCACACTTGATCGATATGCATTGGTCATTGTAAATCCATAGTCTGTAATAATTTAGCTGGCTTATGCCCAATGCCTCCTGTCTACAAATGGTACAATTGACTTTCACCAGGTAATGATGTTATCCCAATGGAACAGCATATTGTTCTTATCTAGCAAGGAGAAGGCACCTGTGGTTTCTTATTGTTGGGCTATTGTTTGCTTTGATTTGCTTCAGTTTCCCTTTCTGGCTCATTCTGCCCAGGAAGAAACATAATGCCACTTGTAAATGGAAGCTTTTCCCATCTCTTCCTTTCTTTCAGTTGAGTCAGAGGAGAACAAAGGAAGTGGCAACTGCATCCGCCAAAGTTTATGGATGTAATGGAAAATATAATTATGACCACCAGAAAGAGAAAATATAGGAAAATGAGATAAAAGATATGATATTACTATCCAAATTATAAAATTTGTACAGATGAATACATCCTGTTTTTTGTTTCAGAGTAAAGCTAATGGCCTAGGCTTGAACTCATCCTTACACAATACAAAAATACCCTTTTTATATTTTATTGATTTTTTTTAATTTTGAAACTCTCATCCTTTCTCTTTCTTACCATTTTAATAATTTCAAACCATTGCCATCATGTTTAAGTCAGACTTACTCTTGCTAATACTCAAAGGTTCTTTTATATGAATGAGTCAATCAATTTCTTGGACAAAAACATGCCTTACTTTCCATTCCATTTCCCTTTTACTTACTGAGGAATCATGCAATTTACTCTACTGCATAAAACTCAACAAAATTTTAGTAGGAGTTAAATAATTGTTCCTCTGAGCTTTTTCTGTGTATTTCATTTCATTTTCTTTTATCCAAATAAAATGCATTTCAGCTATCCACTTAGGCTCCTCTAAGTGTGTGATTGATGCAGGCATCTTGAAAAAGATGTTCAAACCGATTTTTACTTGGCTTTTAACTTGTTTACTATTTTTACATGCTACCATAGACATTATAGAGTGAGTGGAAATAAATCAAAACTCATTTAAAAGTTTATAAAGAGAAATATTTTGATGTGCCTAATACAAGAAAAGCTGCATTCCAGAAATTTTATCTTCTGTACTTTTTATAGACGATAGAGTTGTTTACAAAGGCAAAAGAATTGTCATATTTAAGCCTTGCATTTCTCCAAAATAAATACAGTTAGTTTTTATCTGAATAGTAAAATGCAATAGACATTTGAAAGAGTTTGCTTTTTTGAAAAGTCTCAGCTAAAGTATATACATTGAGCAAGCTAGAATACATAGAAGTGTATTATTATAAGACAGTAGAAAATCTTACAGCTGCCATTCCTCTGGACAAATGTTAGCAACAGATGAAATTACACATATGGTTGACTCAACATAAGCCTCCTTGTTTAAAATCTGTAGTCTTTCTTACTGATTCAAACAGGTGGATTTTTTTTTCTGGATTTGTTTTATTAACATTTTTTTGCTGTTGTCCAACTGACTTCTTCATATAATTTCCACTGTAGCCTCTCTCTTTTTACTTAATCTGCCCTCCTATATCCTTTCTGCACTGACATTTAAATTGAGTTGCTTGATCATTTATGAGATGAAACCTTGGAAGATATTTGCTGCTTCAGATTACATAGCTCCCTTTTGGCCTTGGCTGCAACCTGCTGCACAAATGCCTATTTTCATTTTAATCATGTTGATTGCTAATAAAAAGGAGCAGAAATAACTCAAAGTTAATGTTGATGGCCATGAATGTGCCTATAGATCGTTTTGTTCTGTTACAGCTGGTGATTCAAGAATAGCATTTAATCCCCTGATCTCTCCTTGGTAGATTCTGAGTGCACGTTCTGTTTTCTCTCTTTATTGTGGTCTACTTATGCAGACTAATTTTATGTGATAGAATAACATTACCATGCATTCAAACTTATTGACTTAACAAGCTATGTCTATCTTTATTCTGAGGCTGTAAGAAATCCATTCCATTATTTTAATTGTATTAGCACTTTGTCACAAAGTAAAGGACTATAAAGAAACAGTTAAACTTGTTTGTATAAAGTTATTTGTTGGGATCCCATTGCCAAATGGTTCCTACTTCCCAAATACCATGTTTTATAAAAATGTACTACTTCACTTTAAGTATCAATATGCACCTGAATTTTTAAAAAGTTCTGTTTGATAATAGTTGGTATAGCACAGTGATTTCATGTACTGCATAACAAGTAGTTCCTAATATCTCACGAAAATTGCTGCCTACTGTATATACTTTGGCATAGGGAAAAATATACTTCAGGTAGCAATCTTTAGCACTACTTTTATGTAAGTAAAACTCACATCTTTTTGTCCAGTGTAACAGGGGATTTAAACAGGATGTAAAAGTTTGGATAATGATCTCTCTTTGAATAGAAAAGTTACCAGGTACAAGCAAAAAAGAAAAGAAAATCCAATTGAAAGTAGTGATTATAAGGACCGGAGTTTAATGGGTTATTTTGCTGGTGTTCTTTTTGGTAGGCTTTTCAGCGTCAAGTACAAGAAAGTTTGACTCAGCTAGAACTGATCAACAAACAGTACCGCCGCTTGGCCAGGGAAAATCGCACCGATTCTGCTGGCAGCCTCAAATCGATGGTCCACGAAGGAAACCAGAGATGGGATAACTTGCAAAAACGAGTGATCTCCATCCTCCGCAGACTTAAAGTATTCCTCCATTTTCATTAATTTTTATTGTAATGTTTCTGCAGTTGAAGGGGCAATTTTAAGACCAGCAGTTTTAATTGATATCTTTGAATTTTGCTTTAAATATGTAAAGGTCATGTACTAATGTGAAAAAGTTGAATCAGCTGAAGCCTTTCCTTTTTTACAGCATTTCATTGGCCAACGTGAAGAATTTGAGACGGCACGTGACAGCATTTTGGTCTGGCTTACAGAGATGGACTTGCAGCTCACCAACATTGAACACTTCTCAGAGTGTGATGTTCAAGCGAAGATAAAGCAACTCAAGGTACAGAAATGCAAATGTAGAGGATCACAAGAATAAAAAGCAGAGCAGATTTTATCATTAGCTAAATTTTTATGCATCATGATATGTATGAAGGAAAAATAGTAAGTTTTAAAATTCATCACACACCCATGAGCCAGGTTTCATACAGTAATGTTATTAAATGAATACTACAATAGCGCCACCTAGAGTCATTTTGAGATGGTAGTTATATAAATTTGATAAATAAATAACAAGCTGTACTTAATATGAAAATCGTCTCCTCACCCATTGCTTTCCCACTGCAACTTATCCTCCTATTTTATACTATATGTTAGTCATAAAGTAAAGCACTAGTTTGCCCCTCAAATCTTCTACCTCAAAATAGTTGATTGTTTAGGAATAAAACACATTCCTAAAACACATTTTAATCTTTTCTATTAGTTGTACAATTTAAAATAAACAAGGTAAACTCTCTGTATATCAGTAATAGAATTCAAAAAAAATTACTGCCAGTTTTATGGGCATGGCTCAGTGGGCATGGCAGGGGAAGGATACTGTAAAATCTGCATTCCCTCCTCATTCCAGGGAAAAGTTACTGCAAAAACCCCATTTCTTCCCCACCAGCTGGGATTTGGGGCGGGGGGGGGGAGAATAGATGGGGGCGGGGCCAGTCAGAGGTGGTGTTTACTGGTTCTCCAAACTACTCAAAATTTCCACTACCGGTTCTCCAGAACTGGTCAGAACCTGCTGAATACCACCTCTGTTGTATATACAGTATATATTTACTACAATTCCTATCATTACTTGTTGTCCAAGTTTCATGCGAGTAACATTGTCATTAGAAGATAGACTCTCTGGGACACAAGGAAATTTTGATTTCAAGTTTTAGGTGAGAGATTCCTTAATGATGAGAGAAAGATTAGTAAATGGCTAAAATCAGGTACAATATTGCCACCTGATATGAAATTACATTCTTTGCCCTGCTTCCTGTCCTATTGAAGTACGCTTTACAAAATGCTTTTATTCTTTTCATGCTGATAGTTTTATGGGATGTTTATAGTTATGTCAATATAGGCATCAGGCATTGAGCAAAATTTCAGTTTATCATAACAATAATCAATGTCCTGTCCAGCTTTGTTTTTATTCTGTATAGTATCTATAAAGCACCCTGCCCTTTTTTAGCAACTGCAATCTGTTCTTTAAATTGGGATCTATAAGTGAATATGTGGCTAAGAGAAAGAGAGAGACACTGCGATGGCTGTTGGTTGCTGCTGTCACTTTTAGATAAAGTTCTCTCATACATCTATGCAAGTCACTTGAGCCTGTGTTGTGGTCAGGAGCATGACAGTTGCTTGTTAAGTGTACACAGTGATTGTAATTTTTTTAAAAAAAATAATACTGTCATATTTACAAACTATTGCTAAATAATGTAGCCACTCAGTGAGGAATGGCTGTAGGAATCTTTGCTAGAGATAAAATAAACCAATTTATTAGTTATATATACCAGAAATATACAGCATGCACCATTGAAAAAAGAAGACTCCATACAGAATTTATTATGTAAATTACACTAATGCATAGGTTGACATTTTCATCTAAACAGTTCTTCACTTATGTGACATAAGATATTTGGGGGGGGGATAATTAATAAAATATTCAATATAGTGTCCCAAAGGTGCTTTTATTCCAAGAGGCAACTGGACTTTCTGGTAAACTAGAAAATCAACTTCCCTCTTGAAAAAGAAAAGGCACCTTTGGGACAGCCATGTCCTGGATGACTGAGAATCTCCATAGACATACACTATAGTGATTTGCCTCTGGCTCCTGACTTTTCTTGTATCCTGTATAATAAATTACACATTGTGTTTCAGGCTTTTCAGCAGGAGATCTCCCTGAACAACAACAAAATTGAGCAAATCATTGGCCAGGGTGAGCAACTGTTAGAAAAGAGTGAGCCTTTAGATGCAGCTGTCATTGAGGAAGAGTTGGACGAGCTAAGACGTTATTGCCACGAGGTCTTTGGCCGAGTAGAAAGATACCACAAAAAATTAATTCGTCTTCCAGTAAGTGTTAAATTTGCTATATCGATCTTTGCACATTTTGTTAATTATAGACTTCATCATTGACTCAGTGTTCTCTTCTTCAAGCACCTACAGCATTATAGCTGTTTTGGATAACTCATGTTCTAAATGCAGCCCCCCCCCCCAAAAAAAAACCACATTGTTTTGTGCATTAATTAGGGCACAAATTGTAGAGGGGAAAAATCCAAACTGATAAATGAAACATAATCATGGGCCACAAAGGAATATATGTTGCACGGTTCAGGTGTTCAGTAGCTATGAAGCAGCAGCAGCACTGAAATGGAGATCTCAGTGAGGCCTGAAGGCTTTGGAAGCACTTCCAGGAAGGGGTGAATTTTAAAAAAAAATGGGTTGGCCTTACAAAGCTACTTGGCAAGTAGCATGCAGCCATACATACATGTTTTGCAAACCTGCCTTTGAGCATCTCCATCTCACTGCTGAAGTCTGGCAATGGAGCTACTGTATATTTTTGATAGAACTTTTTGGAGGGAGGGAGGAAGAACACAAAATAGATACACTATGCCTCTTATACCTTCATATCAATCTTTCAAGGCCCCCATCCACTACTTAAAAGTAACACTGCAAAAAAAAAGTCACTTGTCTCTCAGCTAAATGATGCCTCATTTAAGTTTCATGTATAGTGGATGTAAGATCTGAGCTACTCATTTATCCTAAACATTCCCCATGTTTTTGTGAGGAAGTAAACATTTTTACATTAAGTCTTTTTTTCCACCCAGTCTTCTAAGTGGTCCTGCAAAATTAAGAGATCTAGAAAACAGCCTAAAGTAATAATGGGTAATAATGAAATGGAAAATGTGAAAGAAAAAAGAGTTGGTGCTTTTCCAACTTACTTCTTTCAGTTTGTTTATTTATTTTAATATTGAAAGGGTGGATGTCACACAGCGAGATTTTTGTCCTCTTGACCTAGCAAACAGTAGAAGGGCTCCTTATGAAAAGCATTCATTAGTGTTTTAATGTCTCCTTCTAGCTCACAGATGATGAGCATGAGTTATCTGATCGTGAAGTGGATCTGGATGAATCAGCAGATCTTTCCGACCTGCACTGGCATGACAAATCCGCAGACAGTGTCCTTTCCCCACATCCTTCCTCCATTCTCTCGCTGTCTCTTCCCCAGCCAATCCGAAGTGAAAGGTCAGGGCGGGATACACCAGCTAGCATAGATTCCATCCCCTTGGAATGGGATCATGACTATGACCTGAGTCGTGACCTGGAGACCGCAGTCTCAAGAGCCCTTCACTCTGACGAAGAGGGGAGGGACGACAAAGATTTTTATCTTCAAGGAGCTACAAGCCTAGCAGGTAAAATCTATCAACAGATGTTTGATCTTCTTAAATAAGATCATCTCCCTTCAACCGGCCTTCATTACTCTGAAAATCTTTACTAATGTTCTCCAACTGGCACACAGAAGGAATCAGTGAGATACAAGCAGTCCCCAGATTAAGAACAAGTTCTGTTCCCAAGGTCTGTCCTTAAGCCAAATGTGTATGTAAACTGATATACTGTGCAATGAACTTGAACCATTGCATCTTTAACTTTAATCATTTTGCAATTAAATTCTGCTATTGTAGGCTCTGTTCTTAACTGTAGTGATCCTTAAACCAGAATGTGCTTAATCAAAACTTGGTTTATTAGGTGACATTGCACATTTCACAGTCTTTACAATTCTAGGGAAAAGGGGAGAAGATATATTTCAAGAAAACATTTTACTTAGAGAAAATAATTAGATCTGTAGTTAGTTATTATTTTTATTGTATGCATTGGGGAATTAGTAAAGGGAATTGTGTTGTCTCCTAATGCAGCAAACCAACACAGACCTATGCATAAAGCAGTGGTATTTATATGACTGGTTTAACATGCTGTGCTTAACTCAGGTAATCATCAGTGCACTCTGATCAAATCAAATGAGAGCAAGTTAGACTTACTTATTGGTTTTAAAGAATAAAAACACAATGTAGGTAACTCAGCATGTTTTCATGTAATTTTCTATTCCTATGAAAATTTCATCCTATGAAAAATGAAAAGTAGAAGAAAAAATATTGGATATTATCTCCAGTTTTCTAAAAATAAATACCATGAAAACTATAAGATTTTCTTTCAAATACACATAGAAATGTGATCTGAAACTCAGTTTACATTTAATTCTTTGTGGTATTCTTTGAATAACACAAAGGAATTTCTGTGTATTTATGATGCTTGCCTTGGAATACTCAGATGCTGAAAAAACATTTGGCATGAATACTATAATTGGGTGACATAGATACATACAATACATGTAGCTTTCCACTATCCCCTCAGTTTCTCCTTAAATTCAATAACAGTGATTTTTGTTTTATGTTTTCCTTGGCACAGTGCTAGGTATTGCTTTTAATTTTTTTAACCAGTAGATGTGATCATGTCCAGGCCAGATGCTGTCCAGCTGTTCATGTTCTTGACCTACTGTTGGATGTCTGCTTCTTTGATAGTGACTGGTTCCTGTTCTGAGAGATTGCGTGAACTATTCAGTTTCTGCTGTTGTTGGCTGTGCTGCTACTGGGCTGTTGCACTGAGTATTTGGATGGTTCTTTGGAGAAATGGGCATTAATTTTGGCCTCTGCTTCTCTAGTGCATCTCCTTAACCTGGTGGCCAGTGCTATGAACCTTTGTTTAGCAGTCTCTAAGTCTTCAGATGGAATCATGGAATCTTGTATTTTTTCAGGAGCAGAGTCTTAATTGTCACACTCTTCTATCATTCTATCAGTTGAGTAACCTCTCTCTGTATTGCTTTGATCTTAGCCTTTAACTTATTGTAGAGAGGGGGGTATGTAGTACTATTCTTTACTATGTAGCCAAGCACTTCCAGAATTATGGCGGTATAGCATGTACCATTTCCTTGCTGACAGAAGATAATATTTGTAGTTTAGGGGTGAACTCTGGGGTCTTTTGTGCTCTCTGAGTTTGAATATTTTCTTACAGATGTTGGTAATGAAATGTCTACAAGAAAGCAACCAAGCTTAGAAAGCACCAAATGATCCCACCAGTTCATTGGTTTTATCCATGACCTTATGCCTCAATATCAACAGCTATGTTCTGTAATGGAGGGAGTGGCAGTGACATTCCAGCTTCAGATCCCCATCCAGTTGTTCTTCCAGGTTTTCTTCTTGCGTTTAGGATATAATTCATAATTGGTCTATCTCAGGTTGTGTGACCAGCTTCCTCTTCACTGTTGAAGTGTTCTCAGTTGGATGCAGGTTTTCTGTCCACCTGTAGCTCTTACGTATCGCCTCTTATTAGGTCTACTGTTGTAATAGCATTCCATCAATTACAGATTTTCTTGCTTTGTCCATGTATGGTTTGTTCCAGTAGCCTATTTATTAGTTATTGTTCTGGTTCCCCAACATCTGATGGCAGACCTAATCTGGGTGCTATCCAAGCACTGTAACCCTTCCAGTTCATGTTACTCTCATATTTGAGGTAGGCAGGTCAATGGTTAGGAGTATTTGCTCAAGGTCCCCTAGTAGTAAGGTACTGTAAGTAGCAGCCAGGATTCAAACCACAGTGTCCCTTGACAAAGTTAGAACTCTAACCACTATGCTCTATAAGCTTACCTACTTTTTTACATATATTCATTCATTCTTTTATTCATCCGTTCATCAGATTTGTATAGCCATTCATCTCACAAATGTGACTCTGGGCATCATAAAATAAAAACCACCTTAAAAACAATCATTAATAACATTATTCTGGAATAAGGACTTCTGGAAGGCTACCATGGGTACATACAAAATAGGGATGGAACTCTGGTCAGTGTCTATCTCAGCATTATGTTTCAAGAATGGCATGCAAATGTGACAATGCCCACGGGTATAACAGCATAGCTCACCAATGGAAAAAGTTACAAGTAAGAAGTTCTTAGAAAAATCATTGAATTTGAATGAGGTAAGCATCATGGAATATACATGTTATCTTTCTCAGGTAGACCATGCAGGAAATATGACCAGATGAGCTAATTCTACTTTACTGTAAGGCTACATTAACAAAGTCTTGCAAGTCTGAATATACAATTCTTTCTCCTTGAAAGACTGAGAAACTAGGGAGGATCCTTTCTGAACCTCTTTCTTCACACATTATGCTGCTGCAGGCTATGCATTCTATTATCTGATCATTCCCTAGGCAGCATTTCTTCATCCAGTCTCTCTAGGTATTTATCACATATCACTACAGTGCATGTGTGGCAATTTGCATCTGGTCATGGTATTTTCTTGCACTATATTACTTCCAGGCACTGTTTTACAGTGGTTCTCCTCCTACCTCTCGGAAGGTCGCAGTCGGTGTTAGTCGGAGGGCAGAGATCGACCCCTAGGCCCCTAACACATGGAGTGCCGCAGGGTTCGGTCCTGTCCCCCCTTCTTTTCAACATCTACATGAAACCGCTGGGTGAGATCATCCGACGGCACGGGATAAAATACCATCAATATGCGGACGATACACAGTTGTATCTGTCCGCCCCGTGCCAACTCAATGAAGCGATGAACGTGATGAGCCAGGGTCTTGAGGCTGTTAGAGACTGGATGGGGGTTAACAAGCTTGTACTCAACCCAGATAAAACCAAGTGGCTGCTGTGCTTCCCTCCCA